TTGGTTATTTTAACTATAATGACTCAAAGAAATACATATTTAAGATCAATATACAACTCAGCTGGTAAATCATGAACATTTGGGCAATACTTTTGTTGTGCTCAGTGAAGACAACAACTTCAAGCAGATGGTTTGCTTTAATTCAAGCAAAAACTTATAGACTCAGAATAAAGTTATATAATTATTTTAAAACTCATGTGTATTTATGAAATTCTGTATGTTATAAATATGTATGCGCCATTGAAAAGTAGCATATTCTAGCCGATGTAGCAGAAGTTTTAAAGTTATTTATTTATATAACTTATTCATCTTTATCTTGACTTGAACAATCCAACAGGTATTAAACCACCAAGGTTGGTAGGCGAGACTTTTGAAAAATTAACAACTGAGTATAAAGTATGTTATTATAAAGTATATTACTAGTTAATATTGAGAGTAACTAAAAGGCAACAATAGGAACAAGAAAATCAAATAAATAAAAATGTACAATATGTCAGATGATGGAGTTATGGGAAAAAAACATAAAGCAGGGAAGGACAACAGAGAACCAGAGATGTGGCAGCTGCTTTAAATCAAGTGATCAGGGAGGCAGTATGCCTATATTTAATAAGTGTGGAGAATTTCAAAAGGAAGACACTGTTAGCACAGGCAGAATCAGAAAGGCCGGTTCTTGAAGCAGGTAAAAACTTACTCGCAGTTAAGCATGCTGAGCCTTATAAGTGAGCAATTTGATTGATGTGAAAGGGATTTGTAGTCACCTAAAGGCATTGTAAACTACACCTGGCCTCATAACAGCATTCCTTGTAAATTGATTTATTCTCTTATGCTATAGTATGAACTAAATAAATCAAGGGACTCTTGAGATTGATTACGAGGAGTAAGCTTGCAAGAAATTCCATTAAACAAAAAAATTGCTTATCTTTTATTCAGCAAGTTCTCAATTTTAATAACTTATTCTATAGGTACACTTACGTATTTGTGCAAGTAAGTATTTTCAAGGAAACACATCACAACATTATCTACAATAGCAAAAGTTTAGAAACCATCATTAAGGGGCAGGTTAAATAAACTATGGCATAGTCATAGAGTGGGATATACACAGCTATTATAAAGAATGAAGCAACCCTTACCCTAGTACCAATATGGAAGTCTCCATGATAAATTTTTAAATGAAGAAAGAAAGATGCAGAAGAAAAGGTATAGCAGGATATCTCACCTGTGTTTAAAAATTGCATGTATGTAAGATAATAGGCATGTGTATGTACAGACTATCTTTGAAGGAATATTGCAATTTGAGGGTTGGGGAGCAGGAGTAGGAAGAATGCTTCCTTTTCACCATATGCCCCATTTTACCATTTAAATTTTGTTTAGATGCCTGCATTTCCTATTAAACATCTTTTTTAAAAAGTCAACATCACTGTAAATGTTAGTTTAGGTCCAAGAATGTCTCAGTTTAAAATGTAAAATTATTATGATTGAATTAAAATATCAGAATATATTTTCTTCCATGTTGTACATTGAATCCTCAGACTTTATTCATCTTATAACCAAACATTTGTATCCTTTTACTCTCCCCATTTTTCCTACATGCCCCACCCCTGGATCATTTTTAAACTCTCTGTTTCTATGAGTTTTACTTTTAAAAAAAAATATTGCATATATCAGGTTGACCAAAAAAGCTCATTTGTTTTTTCCTGTAAAATGGCTCTAGGAGAGCTTAGTTGTCTTTAACTTCATTCAAAACAATTTCGTTAGATTGTATTGTGACAGCTGTCATATCATATGCATTAAAAACTTAACTTACCATAATTGATGAATTTTTGTGTAGTCATTTTAACATTGAAGATGGAAGAAAATATGCAACATTTTTGGCATATTATGCTTTGTTATTTCGAGAAAGGTAAAAACTAAGCTGAAATGCAAAACAACAACAACAACAACAGACCACCAGACCTGTGCAGTGTATGGAGAAGGTGCTGTGACTGATCAAATATGTCAAAGGTGATTTGTAGCTTCATGCTGGAGATTTCTTGCTGAACGATGTGCCATGGTCAGGTAGAACAGTTGAAGTTGATAGTGATCAAATGGACACATTAATTGTGAACAATCAATTTTATGCCTTGCAAAAGATAGCCAACATATACTCAAAATACCCAAATCAATAAAGTTAATGTTGAAAATGAAGTATATGCCTTTTATTTTACAGAAAAAACCATACAGTCTTTTTGGCCAGCCCAATAAGTGATAGCATGCAGTATTTGTCTTTGGCTTATTCCATTTAGCATAATGTCCTCAAGGTCCATCCATATTGTCACAAGTAGCGGGATTTCCTTTTCTTTTGTGGCTGAATGATATTCAAGTGTGTGCGCGCGTGTGTGTGTGTGTGTGTGTGTGTGTGTGAGAGAGAGAGAGAGAGAGAGAGAGACAGAGACAGAGACAGAGACAAAGACAGAGACAGAGAGACAGAAAGATCACATTTTGTTTACCCATTTATTCATCAACAGACACTGAAGTGGTTTCTATGTCTTGGCTGTTGTGAATAATACTGCAGTGAACATGGGACAGCAGATACCTTGTCAAATGTCCTCTTCAAATATTGTTTTGATTTTCTTTGAATAAATGCCCAGAAATGGAATTGCTGGATCATTTTGCGGTTCTATTTTCAACTTTTTGAGGAACCTTCATAATGTTTTCCATAGTGCCTGAACCAGTTTGCACTTCTACCAATAGTGTACAAGGATTTACTTTTCGCTACATCCTTACCAATACTTGTTATCTTTTGTTAAGGAGCTTATCCCCTATATTTTCTTTTAGGAGTTTAGGGTTTGGGTATTACATTTAATCTTTAATCCATTTTGATGTGATTTTTTTTGTGTGTATGGTATTAGATAGATACCTGTTTCATTCCTGTTTCATTATTTTGCACGTGGCTGTTTTATTTGCAGGAAAAAACTGTCTTTTCCCTATTGTACATATATTCTTGGCTCCTTTCTCGTAAATTAATTGACCATATACTTGTATGTGTGGGTTTATTTCTGGGCTCTCTAATTTGGTCCATTGATCCATGTGCCTTAAATTGGAGCATCTTTTAATTAAATTTTAACAAACATTTATTGTATGGCTAGCAGACGTTGCAAGGATCTTTTTAGGCACTAGTGAGAGTCAGAAAAATTCATGTTTTCTGTTACTTTCAAAATGGCATATTTTGACGAGAGAGTCCTAAAAATTATTTAGGGTTAATATCTGATCTCTAAAATAGCTATTAAAATGTATAACAGATACTTAGAGGTTCATATGTATGGGTTAACTAAACTTAGCCCCTTATTGTGTGTGATTTTAGGCTAATTAAGCTCTAGTTTCTTCATTTGTAAAATGGGACAGTAGTACTTCAGGGCATGGCTTTGGATTAAATGACATACATATAAATTACTTAGTACAGTGCTTTCCATGAAATATAGTGCAATAAATATTAGCTATTTTTATTAATCAGTTCCCTTTGCTTGTAAGTTTTCTTTTCAAATTGGGGGGGGGGGAGTCCTAGAAAAACAGTGCTGTCATCTATACTATTGTAGCAGTAGCAGTTTGAGACAGAAAGCTAATGAATAAATAGAGAAAGACCAATGGTAATTGAGCTGGGTCCAGCAAATGGAGAAATGAGAAGGGCATCGTAGGCAGAGGGGCAAGATGAACTAAGGCATGAGGTAGATGCATGATGTGTTTTGGGAATGGAGGAGAGTAGGCTAGTTTGACTAAAGTGCATGACTTGGGGTCTACACTGGTAGGAGGTTGAGAACTGAGAAAGCAGTGTTTGGTCATGTGGGTTCTTACAGGCCATGTTTAAGAGTTGGGCATTATCTTTCAGTGGTAGAGATGAAAACCAGGTAGCAGGGAATGGAAGAGAGGATGGGGCAGGAGGAAGTGGGAATATGAAGGATGAGGAGGACAGGTAGGGATGGGATAGTGCTTGATAGGGCCAAAGAGACAAGGGAGAAATTGAAGACAGCAGATGGGATGGAGGGGCCTAGATAATTTATGGGGCAAATAGAAGCACCAGGGGACAAAATCCAAATGGGAGTTAGCTTTGTAAAGAGATACAGATCCTTCTTCCAAGACAGGCAGAAAAGGTGAAAAGCAGTGAAGGTGTAGATGAGGTGGGCTGGACAGGATATGGAGGTTGCAAGGCTGCATGGCTGTTAGCCTCTGTTCTTTAAGTTTGGAAGGAAACAATCTGCTGAGTGAATGTTTCTGGGGAAGGACTTTAGGGTTTAAGATGAGAGGAAGGGATTTGGATTATCCACTTTAGGAAATGTAGAAAGTTATTAACTTGGGAGATGGAGGAGTCTGGATGACATAGAAGCTTTGTCACAGGTGAGGGCACCTCACGGGGTCATGTGATTTTTGCTAACAGCAGCTTGGACTCCAGAAGCAGAGCAGGTGGAAAGATGACTAGAACCACCCAGATGCAAGGAGTTCAGGAATTGAGGGTGCTGGTTCAAGGGCGCTGACGGATAAGGGAAGAAGCAAAGTGGAAAAAAAAAGTGACGGAGTCATTCTAAAGAGACTAGGATCGGGTTAAAAATGTGTGGGGTCTAGATTCAGGGAGCAGGTGGGCAAGGAGAGATGACAAGATAGGGTGTGTGGCCAGAGGAGGAATTTTCAGTGTTCTATATTTTATAGGGTTATTTTATTTTTGTTTTACAGAAAGCATTGTTTTAAAAAGTTGCCTTGAAATTCTCATTGCAGTCCAACAGTTTCTGTGTTGGCATAGATCATAAGCAGTATTCCTAGGACTTCAAGGAAGTTTTTCTTGAGAGCGCTGTTAAGGCCACAGAATATGGATAGAAGGCGAGCCTGGAGTGCTTATATAAATGGGAAAACAGCAAGATTTTAACACAGGCACACGACAGGTCTCTGCCAGTTCCCTGGAAGCCTGTAGTTTTTCCTCAATATAAAAAACAACTAACATAAGCTCAGTGATTTGTATTTCTTTGCTTTTAAAGGTAAAACCAGTAATCCACAGCAGGATAAATGTGTCAGCTCGATTTAGAAAACCTCTTCAGGAACCCTGTACTATCTTGTAAGTTCAAGGCCTTTACAGTTCAAATTGAAATTGGCTGGTGGTCTCCTTTTGGTTTGGGGTTTGCATTGCAGTTTTAACGGCATTACTGTTTCAAATGGCGTGGCTCACTGGCTTTGCTTTTTGTCCAGCTTGATTGCAAATGGAGACCTCATAAGCCCAGCTTCTCGCCTCCTCATCCCTAGAAAAGCCTTGAATCAATGGGATCGTGTCCTACAGATGGTCACGGAGAAAATAACTCTGAGGAGTGGGGCTGTTCACAGGTAAGTAAAAATAATCTTGTGAGTAGGTGTTTTCAGAACTGTTGAGAATATTCCCAGGAGGCTCTCAAGCTGCTGGTCCCAAATTTTGGCTCACCACTTAGGCTCTCTATGCCTCAGTTTCTGTATCTTTATATAATATTACTCACCTTATAGGGTTGCTCTAAGAAGTAAGATTACCCACATAAGGAACTTAAAACAGCCTTGGCTGGTGTGGCTCAGTAGATTGAGTGCCGGCCTGCCAACCAAAAGGTTGCTGGTTCGACTCCTAGTCAGGGCACATGCCTAGATTGTGGGCCAGATCCCCAGTAGGGGCGCAAGAGAGGCAACCACACACTGATGTTTCTCTCCCTCTCTTTCTCCCTCCCTTCCCCTTTCTCTAAAAATAAATAAATAAAATCTTTTAAAAAAGGAGCTTAAAACAGTTCTTGGCACACAGTAAGTAGCGTGTTAACAAATATTAACTAGTTTTATTCTTCTGCTTTAGAACAAATAGGGAGCATTCTCTTTGTTGAGAACTTTTCTTTGAGTGAGCCAGCTTCTTGGCTCTTAATTAACTGTCTTCTTATTCAGGAGATATGTATGATTCTTTTATGGTCCAAGCTATTTGCCTGGCATAAAACAGACATCAGGAGCTGTTAGTGGATTTTACGAAAAGGCAGGTTAGAAAGGATAATTAAGTGAGGTTTTTAAACTTTAGAAATCAAAAGCATTTTCCTCAATTTCTGAACTTTAAGTGAAGATTAAAATCATGGCTTTTTAATTGTGAAGCCTATGAAATTATCCCTTGATGGAGGCTGACTTATTTTCTTATAGGTGAGAGGGTTGCAAATAATATATACAAGTACAGAACATATTAAGAATATATATATAATATGTGATATACAAATACCTGAAATCTAATGAAGAGTTTTCTGGTAGTTTTTCAGTCCTGTCTTCATCTCAACCTCTCTAACATACTCCATTGGTAGAATACATTCCTGCCTTCAAGATTTTATGCCTGTTTTCAAATCTATGTATCTATCTATAGACACATATGATAAAATGAGTTCTCAAATGATTGCATATTATGTCTTTCAATTTGCTATGTATACATATTCATATATATTTATATATATATAAAATTTCATAGCCATTTGGATTTTAAATATAATCAGGTATATATAAATATACATATTTAATGTATAAATATAATTGATAGTAATACTTCACATGTAGTAAAAAAACATTTCAAACAGGACAAAAGATACAAATAAAAACTATTCCTCTCCCCTCAGCATTCCCAGTCTCCCTTCCCAGTACTTTTCTGTATTATCCAGAAATATTCTATGCACATATATGCCTATGCATCTGTTATTTTTTTAAAAATACAAATGGGAACACACATATGCTCTTGAATAAATATATAAATATACCTTACTTTTTTACTGTAATAACAAATCTTGAAGATTTTTATTAGCACAAATAGCTCTGTCTTATTTTTTTAATGACTATATGATATTCCATTTTACTGGTGTGCCCTAATCTATTTTAACAGTCTACCCTTGATGGAAACTTAGATACTTTCCAATATTTCACTATTACCTGCTCATGTCTTTGTATATAAGCAGAGTTTATCAGCAGATTCAAGTCTAGGAGTAGAATTGAGGTGCCTAGTGGTACATATATTTTAAATTCTGATAGATACTGCCTGCTGTCTTCCAAAGAGTTTGTACTAACTTGCACTCTCACTAAAAGTGCTTGAGAGGGCTTGTTTTGCATACTCTCCTCTGTGCTGTAAATTAACATTTTGTCTTTTTATTCATGTTGGGTAAAAACAGTATTTCACTGTTGATTTTTTATTTACTTATTTATAATTATGACATCTATTGAGTATTTTTTGTGCAATTCATTATTCCAAGTGCTTTACATCTTTTAACTTAATTTAACAATCCTATGAGGTAGGTAGTGTTATTATTCTCTTTTAGTGAAACATGAGACACAGAGAGGGGAAAGCTACTTGCCCGGGATTATGTAGATGGTGGCTAGAAGGACTGGATTTAACCAAGTATGTGAGCAAGCATGGCTCCGGAGCCTGTGCTCTTAATTACTAAGTTATGCTCTAAATAACTGCCACATGTTTATCTCCTATTATCTGTGAATTATCTGTCATAATTTGACATAATTTGTATGTTTATCTTACTGATTAAATTGACCCTTTCTCAAATGAGTTTTAAATGTATTACCAATTTTTGTTTTTGATACTATTTATGCTTCTTTTTGCATACAGATATGTTGAATTTTCAATCTTATTTTATGACCATTAAGTTTCATGACTAGTTTAGGTCTTTCTCATTCCAATATGATAAAAATATTCTATGTTTTCATCTAATATTTTTAAATTTTATTTAAACCTTTGATCCTTTGGATTGTATTCTGGGATTAGGAGAGAAGGCAGACCTCAATAATCAAATATTGATTTGTTTTAGATATATAGTTAGTTGTGTGTTTTGACATATACAAAAATATATACCCACTAAATAAATAATATAAAATACAAAAAGATATATGTACACAACTACATGCCCAAGATACACTTATTCATACATATATCAATATGAACAAATTCATGTAAAGAAATAAAATTTATGCAAATACAAATACAGAAAACAAAATATAGTGATATGTGCCCCAAACACTTGAATACTTAGAGAAGGTTCATTCTTAATATAATACCAGGTACGAGTGAGATTTGGTTGCTGTTCGCTTTGGACATGCCCAGTTTTCCTTTAACGGAACATTAAAAAATCTTATGGTTGGATTATCCCTGCACATCAGTACATTTATATATTAAAAGCATCCCATAAAAATTGGTTCAACTTCCTGTTTGTATTTCTTGTATTTTGTATCGAAGGAAGAAAGCAGGTCAACAAGAGTCACATAAAGAAAGACTAGCCTCAGTACCCTTGTCCTACCTGCAGAGGAAATCAGTCAAATCTTAGCTGTTTCCAGATCCACAGCTTTGCTGCCGTTTAGTTTCTGGCTGTAAAAGTTAGTTACTGATTCAGATCTTTCTGCTTTGAAGGAAAATGAAATAAGATTGTCTGGGTCTAAACCAGTGCTTCTCAACCAGGGGCCATTTTGCCTCGTGAGGACATTTGGCAGTGTACAGAGTCATTTCTGGAAGTCCCAGCTGGGGTTAGGGCAGCTATTACTACCATCTAGTGGGTAAAAGCCAAGAGTGCTGTTATCCTACAGTTCACAGCACAGCCTCCCCACCTCTCCAATGGAGAGTGGTCAGGTCCACCATGTCAAAAGTGTTGAGAAACCCTAGGCAGGAAAACCAGAATGCTGAAGTGTTGACATTTAGGCCTGTAGGGACAGGTGTACAATGTTGTAAAAGGACAGATTTTGGCATCTTTATACTAACTCTACACAAACACACTCCAGGGATTTTGGTGGCTATTTTCTTTGGACGTCATGGCTCCATATGATATGACCATTTACATGATCAGGAAACAAGCAGACGGGTCAATGGATTTCTTTAAAGTTGCAAATGTCACTAACCTTTATATGTAATATAAGAAGTCTGAGAATTTTTTTAATGGTTATCTTGAAATCCTTCCAGTTGCTAACTCTTATTTATAACCTTCAAATATATGCATTCTTGTTCTATGTAGTTTTTCTACTAGTCTGTTTTTTCCTGTTCTTTGAAGAAATTCTCTGGACACTTTAAATTGTTTAGAAAATTATTTCTGTTCTTTTAATAAGTAACATATTAATTGCAGCTTGCAGCAGTAGTTTTACAGTAAAGGGAGGTTCTTGTGAAATCCATTATGGGAAGATGAAGGAAGCCTGGGGGAAATAAAAGAAAGAAAGAAGCATGAATGTTATGCAGTTCTGCATCATTAACACTGGCAATGGGTTCTTTCACCTCCTGCCCTCTCACTTCCAGTTTTCTGATGCAGTTTTGTGTGTTTGGATGTTATATGTTGGCTGAGAGCTGCTCCTCTACAGAATGCTTTAAGAAGTATATCAATCTGACAAATAAGTTAAAAAATAAATTTTTAAAGTGCTTAGCGAATATAAATAGAACAAACTTCAACAGAGGCTGAGATTTATTTAAAGCACCACATTCTGTACAAGTTAAATCTTTCCGTCTAAAACCATAATATGGCAGCCACAGAAGATACTCATTGGATTATCAGGTTCATTGGGATGAAACACTGTACAGCTAGATAGCAACTTTGTCTGCATTATAACATTGGCATTTAGTTTAATCTAATGACTTTGAAGCATTTGTAACTCAATAATTAGGATAGTAACAGATGAGCCAAGTTAAGAACAGAATGTTTTTATTTACTTTGTAATTTTAAGCAGTTCTTGCAGTGCTTGTTAAAATTTTAATTGTTGGCATTCATATTTTGGCAGACTTTATACTTTAGAAGGAAAACTTGTGGAAAGTGGGGCAGAGTTGGAGAATGGACAGTTTTATGTGGCTGTTGGCAGAGATAAGTTTAAGAAATTGCCTTACAGTGAATTACTTTTTGACAAGTCAACTATGAGGAGGTCTTATGGGTAAGTTTTCATCCCCATTCACTTCACACATTTTAGGTATCACTTGAAATAGCATTGAGTCTTTGCTGACCATTAGTGTATGTTACAATATATAATATTGTTTATCAGTTAGACTGAAAAACCTATGATATATGTTGATCCATTTTTTTATTTTTGCCATGATTGGAGATTGAGAGCTATTGCACAGTAATTTGGGATAGTATATGAAAGACTATACAGTTTATTTTTTACTACATAATTTTATTGTTTTTACTATTCACTTGTGATTTTATAATAAATATAAAGATTTGTGAAGAAGATACAGGACAATGAGCTTCTACAGAGCATCCACTATTAGAAATTTTATTTTTTAATCTTTTAATTTTTTTATTTTTAAGTCATGTTTATTCTATTACAGTTGTCTCAATTTTCCCCTCTTTGTCTCCCTCTAAGACTATACTTTCAGGGATCATTTCTATAGTTCATTTGTTACTAGAAATTTTAATATAATAACTGTATAGCTAGATTAAGTAATTCTTCAGCTGGTGCATGTAAAACATCTAAAGGTGTTTATAAAACATTATATTTTATACACCTTTTAATAATAACTGTAAAATATAAAAATAACATAATTTCACTTGTGCAAAATAAGTAGATTGACTGCTTTTTTAGTTAATACCTGCAAAATTTTAAAGATTACCATTTTAATTACATACAGTGCATTGCGAACCTTTTTTCTCTATTAAATGTCATATATTTTTGAAACATGTCTTCCTTCAGCTGAGTGGCTGGACTGCAGAGGCACGCAGGAAGAGCCCTGGCCTGCGGCACATACCGGGACCCTCACCCTGGCTGGCTTATGGTGCCCGGGGGTCTGCTTCTGCTGCCTTTTACAGATATTCTGTGGCCACTTTGCTATTGGAAACATAGTTTTTGTGGCTGTTCTCTGCTTGGGTGGGTGATACTGGTAGAGATAGAGCAGAATATCACCAATATGTTATCCATTAATTCTCAATTTGTGAAGCCTAGTGGAGAGGCCAGCTGTTTCTAGATAAGTATTAGATGAAGTGAAATTTCAGGGGCGTTGTTTGAAGTATGCAAGAGCACATGCTTTTCCAGCACTTTAGAATTATTTACCAGCAGACTTACTGCTACCCGTTCTTACCCATCCATAAAATCAAGTCCGTTCACAATCTGCTAACAATACTGGATTCGTCTGCTGTTAGCTTCTGTGTATAATTAATGGCAGTGAGAAAAGTGTAACTCATGGTGGCCTTTCTCAGACACGTTAGTATGATTTACATTTATCTATGTATCCTCTTATTTACAGTGAGGTTCATTTGGGTTCTAGAATAGGTCTTTTCCTAATAATATAGAGACATCCATCTGTGAAACAACATTCCTACAGCCGAAGAGAGTTTTTTTTATTTCTTGACAAGAATGACTGGTTTAGAAACTCACTGAATATAAATGTGAGTGTGTTACCAGTCTAAGCTTCTGTCAGAGGTAGGCAACATAGATATTAAAAAGGAGAGGGAAATTTATTGTTTGGCACTCAATTTGGCAAAACTGTTACTCAGCTTGAGAAATGATTTTTTTGAAATTCATATAGAAAATTTTGGGAATTAAATAAAAATGCTATGAAAAATGTAAGCTGTTACTAAAAGTTTATTATAAATATCAATTACAGTAGTCTACAGGAAAACATTATACATCTTTTGGAATAGAATTTGGCAATTTTATGGTAGTCTTTGTGAAATTGGGGTAGTATATACTACTTTTTTGGGAAACACCGATAGCAGTAAACAGTTGACTTGTGGGTTGGGATGACGAGCTGGGATGACTGTTGTCTTCCACTATTTATTATTTGTAAATAACACTCATATTCCTAAATTACAATTTGTTTCCACAGCCAGAAAGCGTCTTCACTGCCTCCTATTGTAGGATCCAGAAAGTCTAAAGGGAGTGTAAGTATCAGATGGTTTACTCATTAAGGCTCTATATTTCTATACAGTATAGAGAGACTGTCCTTTGGGTTTCAATGACATTTGAAGAAAAAACTTAGCTGATATATAAGCAATTATGTGAAACAACACTAGAACATTAATGTTACAAATAAGGTCTTAAAAGAGAGTTAACATTTTTAAAATATAGATTTCAACATAGGTATATTTTTCCTTGTGTGTAGACCTGATAGAATGTATATCGCAGTTGAAATCCAGGCAATAATACATAAAACTAGAAGAAATGCTGCGGTGCAGGTCCTGTTAGTGGTCCATCCAGTCCTGTTTCCTATCTCTGACTAAGAGTCAGAAAGTTTCTGTAAGAAAATGGTAATCCTCCAATATAGTTCTGTAAAAGAATGAGAATCATTCCAAATATTTATTCCCTATCAGAATCTTTTCCATTCATCAATCATTCATTTATTTGTTAATTCAACAAACATCTATTAAATACCTACTTATGTGGGAACTGTGACAAGTGTTTTGTAGGTAATTTCTTACCTTCTTTGTATTTTTTGTCTGGGCCCTCTTGTGGAGCTGAGTTTTATGTCATGCTGCAGTATTGCTTTGACAGATTTTTTTCTAGTTGAGGCTTGTCTTTCTACCCAGCTTGAGAAATGATTTTTGGAAATTCTACACCAGTAGTGATCAGGATTGATTTGACATTTCCCCTCTCTGAATTAACTGAGCAAAATTCTTATAAAGGTGTTTTGTGAAGTAAGTGACTGGCAATGAAATCTTGTCTCCTAGTGATGATTTAGATATCTCTTCTATCCTCTTGGTTATATCGTGTGAAATTCTTGAAAAAGAGAAAAATAATTTTGCATGAGGAAGAAGTGCTGAATTCAGCATAACAATAGACTTTTATCACCCATTCATTTGCTGAGACTCATCCTCCTCGTGACAAAGCACTTGGCCTCAGAAACTTATAATTTCATTGAAATAAAGAAGATGGCTTGGAAACGTAACTAACAAGCTAAACAACAGAGGTGTTGTGATATTGGTAAACATGAGAGAGACAGAAGGAATCAATGTACATTGGTCAAAGTACATGGAGGAAGTTGAATTTGAACTATGCCTTTGAGGACTGTTTAAGATTCAGGCAAAAGTCAATGAGGAGAGAGGGGATTCAGACAGAATGGGCAGTGTGAGGAAAGGTGATGAACACCTGGAGAAGCAATAATGCTGGCTGATATTTAGTGAACTCTTGAGGGCTCAACACTATGACAGTGTCTTTACAGGTGTGATTTACTCAGTCCTCAACCCACAAGGCAGGTACTATTATTGCTGCATTTAAAAATGAGAAAAGGAAGCACAGAGCATAGGAGTACCACATCCAAAGGTTCATGTTGAGTAAATGGTGGGGGAGGGACCCATCCAAATGGCTGTCCTGGAGGAAGTTCATGCTTCTGATCCCAGGGAACAATGAGTTGCTCAGGCTGACTGGAACAGAAGGTCCATCGTGGTGTGGAAGCTGATGTGCCTGAAATGGTAGGTGATGGCGGTTTTGGATGACTTTGAATGACTTTATCTTCGAGTAGAGGACAGCTCCTGAGGGCTCCTGAGAGGTTAGTATGTTAATCCAAATCCGTTCTAAGAAGATCAGGTCTTTTATGTGGAGGAAGGCTTAATATGGTGTGAGGCCATAGATGAGATGTCAGTTATGTGGCAATTGCAAGCAGTAGCCTTGGTAGAAAGTGTTGAGAGGTTAGACTGGGTAGGTGGTAGAGGTAGTGGGAGGTGATTGCTGCTCATGAAGAAATGAAAGGCTTGCTTGGTGGTTGGGTACCCAGGGTTATTGGAGAGGTTGGAGCCAAAGGTAACTGCAAGTCTTTGAGCTTGGATGCCTGAGAAAATGGCAGTACTGTGGCCAAGATGGAGGCTGTCAGAAGAAATAATGACCTGCCTAATTTCCAACATATAAATTGGAATTGTCATCATGAAGTCTAGTAGAAAGGAATTATAGATGGTGGAGTCTGAGGCCTGATATGAACATCAGATGTAGATTTGCAAGCTCATCCACGTAATGGTCATAGCTGAAGAGCAGACACCTGTCATTGCAGTGTTCCCTCCTAGCACTCTGCACAGCCTGGCAGGGAGCAGGCCTTGTCATGCTATTGAGTGAGAGGATGCGTCATGGAGCTTGGAGAGAGAGTGCAGTGAGTACCCAGGTTGAGGGAACTAAAATCATGGGCATAGAGAAAGAAGAGAGAATATTCCAGAAGCTGGAAAATTATGTTAGCCACTATAGAGCTAAATAACCTGTGAGTTTAGGGTTTGGAAAATTTGTCCTCTAGTTCTTCAGTACTTTGGAGTGCAATCTCTTCTGTGTACCAGGCAAATATGAGCTCAATAGTTCTCACAGTACAGTTGGAAGAGTGAAGATTAAATAGAGACACAGTGCAGTTGAATAAGTGACCCTAGGTCAAAGGGAAAGTTGATGTTAGAATCAAGATTGTGACTCTTTGCATTCACAATTAATGAACTTTGGAATTATGTGCTTACTATTCTGTAATTTGGAATGTCTAAATTTTTATTAAAAATATGTGATGTGTTTCCTGCTTAAAATTCATGTGCAGGAGGCACTCACGTCCAATTTAGAATCTGTGTTATGAATACTCGGTCATCTGATAATGATCGATTGAGTTTTCCATGTATCCGGCCTGGACTGAAGCTGTGGGGAGACAGTGATAAGCAAAGAGACATGCTACTTTCTTTTAGATTATGGCCTACTGGGGGAGATAAAGGTTAAACAATTCCACAAACTCATATATAATCAAAAAGTGTGATGAAAATGAATGAATAGTACAGAGCAATATGAGAGACAATCCCAGGAGAATTAATTTAGCTAGGTGTGTCAGGAAAGGCCTCTTTAAATAAGTGACCTTTAATGACAGACTATTTCCATCTCACAGAAAGCAAAGACTCAGAATTATATTTCCATGCTCTGACTTAGAAAAATAAAATGATAGCAGAGTTTGTTCCTCTTTCAATAAAGCTCCCAAAACATGTTAAATACTTGCCCGTCCATTCATCTGCTCATTCAGTCATCAACTCAACTTATATTTGCTGAGCACTTACTAAATGCCAGGAGCTACTCAGCCAGTGCACTTTGCATATAGACATGGTTTTAAACCGAAAGGAACTTTCATTCAAGTGATTATGGGGGGCAAACAGAGGAGAGGGTGGAAGAATGGAGACAGATTGTTAGCTTCCAAGCAAATACGAAGTCTGTCCAGAAGGTATCCAGCCATGTTATATGAAAAATAGAAATATTTATTGAAGAAGATACAAGGTACAAGAAACATTGTACATAGGACAATGATACCTTAGTCCCCTTCAAAGTAGGTACCTTGGGACCTCACACGGTTCTCCCAATTGCCATCAACTGCCCCATCATATTTTTCTGAATCTCATTGATGGTCTGAAATCTCTTCCCTTTCAAAGATGATTTTAATTTTGGGAAAAGCCAGAAGTTGCAGAGTGCCAAATCTGTGCTGTAGGGGGGCTGAGTCACCTGGGTGATTTGATGTTTTGCCAAAAAAATCTGCATGTGACATGATACATGAGTAGGTGTGTTGTTGTGATGAAGCTGCCAGTCACCAGTTGCCCATAACTGCGGCCTTCTGAATCATCTGGTTAGTTTCCATGGTGAAAATGTTAAGCTGAACACAAAATTTGATGCAGATTTGTTGCTCTACTCACTCAGTTATTTTGAATGCAATGGACACACAGTACACATGCTCACTCAAAGGTGTCTACCGCCCCCACTGAGTAGGATAGTGAAGTTGTCATTTTTCATGCATGCACATTCCAGTCCATTCTTCTTGGCTGCCAGATTACATCAATGTCACTCAAACCATTCTCATTATATTAACAATGGCTGGACTTTTTTCCCCAGACAAATCCTGTAGGTAAATAATTTCAGATGGTGTAAGTGCAATGTGTAAAAAAATGTGGCAGGGTACCTACTGACATAGAATTTTGTGAGGCTGAGACCTGAATGATGGAGCCGGTCATTCAAGATTGGGGCAGGGAAGAAAGAGCCACCACAGCAGAGGAAAAAGTCACCAGGTCCTTTGGTAAAGAGCTTGGCACAAGAGGAGGGCAGGAAGAAGGCCAGTGTAGTCTGAATTGAAGTTAGGCCGGCAGTGCCCAATGCGGAGGCCATGCAAGGAGTTTGGGTTTTATTCCTTGAAGGAACACCATTTGAGGGTTAGGAGGAGAGAGGGATACCAGTTGATTTACATTTTGAAAAGATCATTCTGGCTGTGATGTTTACAAGGGAGTCAGTTGGGGCAAGAAGAGGAGCAGGAGGCTGTGAGACAGTTGGAGTCCAGGCATGTGATGCAGGTGACGTGGACAGGTGGCAGCTGGGGAGATGGACACCTATGATCAATCTTCTTTGAGTATATTGTAATGATCTGTGACACGTCCATCTGGGCACTGTTTTAGTGTTTGGCCAAGAGGGGGAGGTAAAGATTTCTGAGAAAACACTAAATGTGTGGAGCTTACATTCTGGAGGAGGAGAAAAACAAACAAATACACAATATATTTGGTATTAGTTAGTGAGAAGCTTGATGAAAAATACATCCAAGTATATGAAGTGAGAGTGAGAGAGGGTGCCAAATCACCTGGGTGGGCAGGGTAGGCCTCTGTTAGGAGGTCCTATGTGAGCCGAGTAATAACCCATGTGGCATACGGTGAGTTCTCAGAACCTGTTTTGTGGACTCGTGCATGACTGGCAGTGAGCCGCACAGAGAAAACATCTTAGATCGTAATTTCAAAGTCACAAACTCCATTTTCAACAGAAGGATTCATTTATTCCTTTCCTTTAATTTATTGGTTCCCTGGAAAGTGTTATGTGTTTTTAAGATCATTAACTGCTAGGCACTGAGTTGGGGTTGGGGGTGAGCGAGCCGGACTGTGGGAAAGCGAGCTTCAGACTTGGGGAACCACTGCCA